AGCAACAACAATGGCAAGGAAAAAAAGCAAAACTGTCGAGAAAGCGAAAGTGAAATTAAAGTGCAATTTAGTCGCTCTTAATAGTAAAGGAATTGCACTGAAGGGGAAGTGAGGTAAGAAACGGGAGCTTTGAAAAGGGAGAATTAAAGATGCAGAGCACGCTCGTGTGCCTTTTGCTCTGGCTGCCCACCGAGAGTGAGAAAGAATAAGGCATTGATTATATCACTCTCTTGATTGAGTCAATTCATTGCCGATTTACTATTCCGACGGTCGTTCAGTCTTCCTTCAGTCAGCCTTTTGAGGCACTGTGCTGCTTGTGCTGGGCCGGATTTTGTTGTTGTTGCCTTAGACTTGCTCTCTTTAGCGACAGCATTTTGGCCATTGTCTGCGCCTTCTCTTTCTTCTTCTTCTGCTTTGTGTGTGTGTGTCCAATCAATTGAGCCAGTTTATTTCAACTTGGTCCAGTCAGTCAGTCAGTCAGCTAGCCATTTGCCTGGACGGAAACAAGCTAATCAAGCTCGATAATGTTCTGCTTTTTGTTGTTAGCAGACGGCACAATGAGAGTGCGAGAAGTGAATCGATTGATAAATGCACACATGCCAACGGGCCAATTAGTGGGCACCGACGAAGACGGCGATCGACGGCGAAAGAAGGCGAAAGTGATGCCAGCTAGTCGAAAGAAGGCCATCTTTCTCTGTGTTTGTGTCAGGTCTAGCATGTCACTGGTGCTGCCAGTGCAGGTTTTCTGACGTTCTGGTCAGTGTGGGGAATGTGAAAGTGTTAATTACAATGTCAAATTGCTAATTGCTAGATAAATATTGATCGAAGGCAGCGATGTCGTCTGGTTCTTCTGGTCGTCAGGGTGCTGCCACAAGACGTGACCTGCCTGCGTAAACCTCTGCTGTAGCGTCCAAACGGCGCCTTTCAACCAGAAGATACTTTGTCTTTGCCCTAAACTTTTGAGTAGTCAAAAAGAATCGGTTTTGGTTGTTATGTTGGTTTCAAAGAAAAACGTCTCATATTGACGGTCCCCAATCTTGTGCGCACGTGGCGTGATTGAGCACTTTTCATACTGTTTTTGGTCAGCCGTTGAAGTGTTGTGATCTTGCATTTGTTACCGTTAAATTCCGTTATCTGAAGAACCAATTTGCAACTGACTTCTTCACAACCGTAATTTCCTTTTTGCAGGCTCTCTTCAGCGAAGGCTCCGGTGAGGGTAGTAGCGATGAGAAGACATCGCTGCCCGTCGCCTCGGACACAACTAAGGAAGGCTCAGCTAAAGTAAGCGCATAGCACTGATCAGAGCGTCGCAATTGTAGACAAAGACGTTGCCATTCACTTCACGAGTACTACAACTGCTATTGTATTCCACTGTGTCACTGACTACCCTCCAGGAAATGGTCCACTTGGAGCCGGAACGCGGCAGCAGCAGCTCAGACAGTTTTACTGGAAAACGTAAGAAAACTGTCTACTACTTTTCTAAACAAGCGATTCTTCTCTTCTGCTCACTAATTGTGTTCACTTGTTTTCCCTTCCTCGCTCCTTTCTCAAGCGTCCACCAGTGAAGAATGGAATGTAATGTGAAGGACAGCGACGACAACGACAAATCTTCTATTTCACCACCTTTCTTCTTCTTTGTAGCGTATCAAACAACAAGACGGCGAACTGGCGACTCAGCTAGAGCGACACAGTCTAATGAAAGGAGAAAAGGGCGATCAAGGGCCCAGAGGAGAAAAAGTATGAATAGTAGAGTGAAAGTGAGATGTTCTTTGAGAGAATTTTATGCACATACTCACCCATTACTGCAGGGCGAATGCGTCAAGGAGATTTTCACGGAGATTGGGCCTCAGTCATGTAGCTGCAACATATCGCAGATAGTGAATGAGTACGCCGACTTCTTCCGAGGCCCAAAGGGTGACGTCGGACCTAGAGGACCGCCCGGAAGTGATGGAGTGTCTGGGCCCCCAGGACCACCAGGAAGTGGCTCCTCGAGAGATTTCTCCTACGATGTAGGTTTCTAGTTCACTCCACTGAATTGAGTTTGATTTCAATGCATTGCATTCATTCAGACTTCAAGCAACTTGATCGATCCATCGCTTACGTACATGGGTGTTGTGAGTACCAGTGTTGAGCGAATTGTCCGTTTAGTGATTTGTGCAATCTCAATTGTTTCTAGCGAGAACCATGCCCACCTGGACCTAGAGGCCTTCCTGGCCATAAAGGAGAAAAGGTAAGGGCTTTTCAGATGCTTGATAGGTCCAAACAACTTACCCAACTTTAACAGGGAAATCCAGGACAAAGCATCAAGGGAGACAAAGGTATTGAAGTGGTTTGAACATCATAACTGACTTGTTGGTAATTAAAATCTTCTTCACTGCAAGGTGATCGCGGAAAGAGAGGAAAAACCGGTAAACCCGGAATTAGAGGACCTGTACGCGTTTCATTTGTAGTGTTTTCATAGTAAAGTAACCTTATTTAAACTTCAGGTTGGCCCGATTGGCCTTCCAGGGCCCAAGGGAGATGACATTAGGATATCGGTAAATATTATGAAAGTTTATTTGCAGTATGACTGCCAGTTATGTTCTTGTGCTCATAATTATGACATGTTTTCAGGATTTGAAACGGTTGATGGTAATCACATAAAGTTACAGTGTTCAAATGAGCATTTTACAGCTTGTAAACTCCTGTAGTTGGAAAATAACATCAAGGGCGTCAAGGGTGATGTCGGAAATCCTGGTTTACCGGGCAAACCCGGTCCCCCCGGACAAGTTCTTTACGACTCCTGGTCAGAGTCTCGAGCGAGACGTAAGCAGTGAAGAACTCTATGATGTAGACAAAAACCTGACTAAAAAGTATGACATCATTACCGCAGATTACCATGGCAAAATGTACGACCGAGTGTCGAGTGGAGCAGGAACAGAAACAGGTAACACTGATAAGCAGTAGTCACAGTGGTCGCCGTACCTGACACTTGTCTGCCTTTCTAAAGTGTACATTGAAGGCCCACCTGGACCACCGGGGCCGAAAGGAGAGCCTGCAGGGCCGTCGTCATCATCATCATCATCAGCGGGCTCTGTCCGTGCTTTGGTAAAGCTGCTGAAAAGCCTGCGCAAGTGTTATCGTCACTAAAATGTTGTCATTTTTATCACTCCGCTAACCATTAAACCAGCTGGTGAAGGATGTGGAGGAGCTGACACAGGCGACACTGAATCACCCCGAGGGAACGATAGCTTTTGTGCTGAGCGAGCAAACGCTGCTTGTGCGCAATCGAAATGGATGGCAGTACATTATGGTAATGTCATTCTCCTACTCTCTCATTCATGAGAACCAATTCACACGCACTCACACAGACCACTGTGTTTGCTTACACCACCTTGATGGCTAATTTGCATTCTGCTTTTGATACGCTGGCAGCTTGGCAACACACTCAGCTTGCCGCAGGGAACGACTGGTGCAAAGGTGAGAGAACAGTGAGCAAACTATTTGGGCNCTACTCTCTCATTCATGAGAACCAATTCACACGCACTCACACAGACCACTGTGTTTGCTTACACCACCTTGATGGCTAATTTGCATTCTGCTTTTGATACGCTGGCAGCTTGGCAACACACTCAGCTTGCCGCAGGGAACGACTGGTGCAAAGGTGAGAGGACAGTGAGCAAACTTTTTGGGTGGCAGTCATTGCATCAGCAAACATGATATGAAGTTTAACACTAAAACTGTCTGATTTTCAGAGCAATGGAGAAACTGGCGGATCTTCTGCCGTCGATCAGTCGCAATCTACCGCTCTGACCACTGATGCCTCTGAAAATAGTCGAGTAAGTTTTTGTCAATGTTTTAATGTCATTGTTGAAATTACTTTAAATCTTAAACTTTTTTTACCGCAGCACATTACGCACAGTAAAAAGGTGAGACATTTTCAGTGTGTGTGTGTGTGGTAACGAATAATTAATTTATTGCACCATTGTCAGCTTCGAATGGCCGCTTTAAACTATCCTTTCACCGGTGACATGCACGGAGTTCGAGGTGCCGACTATGAATGCTTCCGCCAATCCCGACGGGCCAACTTGAAGGGCACTTTCAGGGCGTTCATGGCCGCTCGAGTGCAGAATATTGACAGCATCGTACGCTCAAAGGACGCCAAACTGCCTGTGGTCAATCTTAGGGTAAGTTAGCTTGCTTACTGTGAACATCGTAGAAATGATGTCCAACACCGATGTAGGATGAGATTCTCTTCAACTCCTGGCGAGACATCTTCACCGGCTCCGGCGCCCCCTTCGCCTACCCGCCCAAGATCTACAGCTTCGACGGCCGAAACATCTTCACCGACTCTGCCTGGTCGCAGAAGCTGGTCTGGCATGGCGCCGACAAGAATGGCGTTCGCAACACTGACGCCTACTGTGACGCCTGGGGCTCCAACTCCATCTCGCGAATGGGCGTGGCGAGCAATCTAGTGCACGGAAAGCTGCTCGATCAAGTGAAGTACTCCTGCAACAACCAGTTCATTGTCCTCTGCGTGGAGGTCAGTCCAGAGGAGTCATCCTCCTCCTCGTCCTCAACTCGACACCGTCGCCAGTCAGGTCATGTTCATCATGATCACCAGTGAAGTGGTGGTGATCACCTCACTTGCACTACAACCACCAGCTCAGAAGTCGTGCCCAGAACAGTTTGTACATTGCAAACGTACTCTAACTTACCCGCATCCTACCCGTTTTGATACCCATTTTACAATACACTTTCTTACCTACCTACTAACCCTACCTTTTCATCTTATTAACCCACTACTACTGTATGGTAGCAGCAATCATCGTCATTGAATATACTCGCAACTTTCAAAACCTTTACTATTTAATAAACGCACAAACTTTTGTGCTAGTGGTACTTTATTTCAGTAAAAAGGACATGTTTGTTTAAAAGCGTCAGAGTGCGTGCAGGGATGAGTTGTAAAAGGTTTTCATGAAAAAATGGTAGATATAAAAGACGAAGTGAGAAAAATGCTTCGTACAAAAAGCAGTTCAAAGTTGGTTGCAAAATTTAGTGTGTATGTGTGCACAAAGGAGAATGTACAAAAATACAAACAATTGAGAGGGAGTGTTGTTGACCTTATTTGGCTTCGATTTCTTCAAAAAAAAGTTACAAAATAATTAAATGACAAAAATAGATTTAAGAAAACATAAGGTAGAGTAATGGGTTGAAAAAAGGGATTTGTTCACTTGAATAAATAAAGATGAGCAAAAAAGAGAAGTAAGGAGAGAATGCAATTTAAACATAGGCAAAAGTAGAAAATCATCACAGACAATTTAGCGAAATGAGTCACATTGAACTACTACCCACTTCAGCAGTTGAAGCAGACCCAGTAACCACTGATGGCCGACCACCTTCAGAAAAGAGGAACATCGACTTTGACTGCTTGAAAAAGGGTATAAACAAATGAAGTTAATAAGGTTGAAAAAAAGGAAAAAAGAAAGGAAGATTGAAGAAGAAGAAAGAAGAAAGAAGACAAAGTAGAAAACGCCGCTAGTTCTGTGGAGTTGGCCTTCTGCGAAATTTGTATCGAAATCGGGCAAATAAACGTCTACTTAGAAACGTCTGTAAAGAGGAGGTTGATAAGATAAATAGAGAAGAGGAAAGAAAAAGTGAGAAAAAGAACGAGAGAGAATCTGAAAATTAGAGAAAAGGTGGCTTATGCAGATGCGATACGATGGCAAAGTAGATTAGACAGCTGATTAGTGGTTAAAGAAAGCGTAATGGGAAAAAGTGTAAAAGACTAGATTGGAGTAGATGATACATGGATAGAGGTTAATCAAAGAGATGGGGTTCGTTTGGTTGAAAAGCGAAACAAATGCAATTCAGTGTAAGCAAAACTGTCAAGTTAAATCATGCAGAAGATGCGGCGATGAGAGCAAAGGTGGCGTTTAGGAAACAAGTTAGTTAGAGAAAGGGAAAAAATAGGCCGAATTAAAAGGAGGAATGCAGAATGCTGAGCACAGCTGGCTGAGCGGAACACATCAGTCAATAGAGCTGATATTGGTGAGCCAATTAGGTAGCGCAATCAGGCCAATCAGTGGCGTAATTAGCATTAGCGGCAGCCATTAGCGGTGGTATTGGCGTGATTGGCAATTAGCGCTATTGATTGGCAATTGCCAGAGGCTAGAGGCAACTGGCACTACTTGAAGGAGTAGTTGCTGCGAAAGAGCTTGCTTTCTCTTACTTTTTGCTCTTTGCGGTCCTTCTCCAGCTGACGGAACTCTTTGATCTTCTTCTTCATCTGCGACCGATCGGCACTGTTTATGACGCCTAATGCCTGCACAAAACCGAGAATCAAGAAAGAAAGAAAAACGTAAGCAAAAGGAAAAAGAACAAAAAGAGAGAATAAAAATGCAAACCTTGAGTTGTGGACTGTCAAGCTGAATAAACCGCGCGCCGGTAATGTTCTCTTCCTGAAATCGCTTCGCATAGGCAGAGAGGTGGCTCTGGCGGAGGAACTCGGTCACGTCAAGCACGCTCCACGTCAGCGGAGCGCTCCAGTCGGTGACCGAGACGGGGTGGTTAGGAATGCCGCCACTGCCACTGCTGCTGCTGAGAGGAAGTGAATGAAGTTGCTGAGACTGCAGTGAGGCGTCGCTCAGGTTCGACTCGAGTGAGTTCATCTGCTGCTGCTGCTGCTGTTGCTGAGTGCGCACATTTGCGTTGGCCCGGGAAAGGTCGGCGTAATGGAGCGCCGCTGCAACATCCTCGCTCTCGAAGGGTGAATTGAGCGAGCCAGAGGAGGAGGAGGAGAGGAGAGAGTGCTGCTGATGCAGTAGCATGTCCGCCATTGCCTGCTTCACCGGTGAGGAGTCGACCGAAGAGTGGCCGCCGTTGCGGGCACTGGGAATGGGCGATTCGGGTTGATGCTGCTGCTGTTGTTGCTGTTGGTTATTTCGATGTAGACTGCCCGTAGTGGAAGTCTGCGGCGAGTTTACCTGGCCAGAGGCAAACTGGAGGTTGAGCTGTTGACGGACGGTGCTCATGGAGCTGCTGTCCTGTGAGGAGATCGGAGGTTTATTTGGCATAGAGTTAGTTGTCGAGGTCTGATGATGATGATGAGTAAGCGAGGAGTAGGGGTGCCCGTGCACGTCTGATTGTTCCTGCGATGATTGGTTGCTGCTGTTTCGTGCCGTGTGCAGTGGACTGTTGGTTTTGGCGAGCACCGCCGCGGCGGCCGCCTGAGAGAGCATATGGGCGGCAATTCGAACTGGTGATGAACTGCTTAGTGTCTGCTTGCTGCTGACCACCTCGTCGATGATACGAACTCCACAGGGCTCGGAAGCAGAGGGAAGTGGGCGGGTAGTTGAGTGCTCATCCCTAAGTGCCTCCTCCTCCCCCTCTTCACCATCTTGAGGGTAGTCCTCAGGACATTCAGCTGAAGCAGGCGATGTCTCTTCAATGGAAGTGTTGCACTGCTTTCGAATCATGGTCAGGGAGGGTGGCTGGCGGTTGGCGAGACTGCCACGAGAAACGAGGCCTGCTTTCTGCTTTGAAAATGACACATCCAGTAGTGGCTTTCCCTGAACCTGGTCAGCAAGATCAATAAAAGACTGCAGCGCCTCGTCCTCTTTTGAGCCGTCCTTCTCGTCGATGTCTTCGGCCACCTCCTCTAGAGTGTCCTGCTTTTGAACAGTCGCCTGAGGGGCAGCCTCCGTAGCATTAGCTGCCACCACTGGATCGCTGACCGAAATGGTCACCGAGTTGTCCGACGGCGAAGAGAGCTGCGAGTGCTGCTGAATGAGGGCGTTTCGATTTGCGTCAAGGAGCTTTCTCTCGAGGTGTATAATCTTGTCTTTGAGCGCTCTAATCACCTCGCTCGACTCCTGCTTCTCCTCCTCGACCATCTGCCGCTGCACTGCGTCCTTCTGGGCACTGTCATGCTCCTTCTGCTGCCACTCCTTCACCATCTTCTTCGCCTTGGTGTACTTCTTCTCCAGCAAACTGTACTGCTGCTTAAACTCATTCAGAATGTGATTCTTCTGCTCCAGCTCCTTCTGAATGTTGACCAACTCCGCTTCAATCTCCTTTCTCGCCACCAGCGAGTCCTCCAGCTGCTTCTGCAGGTCATGAATCTTCTGGTCAGACTTCTGTTTCACCCGAATGACCTCGTCGGTCATTGTGCTGCACTTAGACTGCCACTCGATGATGTTCCGCTTCAAATTGTCAATGTCTCGCAGCGACTGAATGTGCTGTTGTTGGGTGTAGTTGGCGTTGTGCTGGGCGGCCAGGTCAGCTGCTGTTGTTGCTGTTGGCTGAAGTGGGGGCTGTGTGGCTGGCAGCGGTGGTGGCGGACAGGGTTTGTTGATGATCTGGTCACTGTTCACTTGCTCAGTGGTCGGTGTGATGCTGGGCTGGTGCTGCAGTGACTCAAACTCATCGTCTGCAGTTCGCTCTTCAAAGTCATCCGTAGACTGCTCCTCCTCTTCCTCTTCCTCCTCCTCAAAGTGGTCCTTGCTCTGGTCCATGTAGTCGAGCAGGCTCTGCTTTTGCTGCTCAGAGGCAATCGACTGCGAAATGAGCTGCGCAATTTCGCTATTCTCCGGGTCACGCTCTCTGCCAATCATGAACTGCACTAGTCCATAGGTGGAGCGCAGCACTGACGCCGCATATGACTGGGTAACGCCCACCAACGATTTGCCGTCCACCTCGATGATTTGATCATTTGGCTGAATTCTAAGAATCAAATAAAGAAAAATTATCATAAAAAAGTTTTTCACATTTACGCAAAACACGCTTACCTTCCATCTCGAGCAACCGGTCCACCTTCGGTGATGGTCTTGACAAATATGCCCAGTTTCTCAATGCCAGCATCAGCCCCGACGCCCATACTGCAAATAAAGAAAGACATTAAGTAATGTCGTTATAAAACAACAACACCAAAATTACCCAATAATACTGAAGCCAAGACCTTCGTCTCCTTTGGTAATCTCCACTGGAAAAATGTCCATCTTTTCAATGCGCTTCTCCAGTTCGTACTCTGCCGAAGCGACCACTGGATCAAACTCCTCATTTCTGCGATCGTACTCTTCCGCAGAGAAGGTCAGGAACACTTTGATTGGCTCGGTGTCAAAGCGAACTTTGGTGTTTCGCTTCTTCTTCGGAATAGCTTCGCCAATTTCCAGATTAAACGGCCCAGAAGGAAAGCGAAAGTCGCTCACGTACTCATTGTCGTCAATTTCTTCCTCTGGCGAGAGCCCGGGATACTCTGTGTATATTTCTCCGTCGGGGCGACACCAGAAGCGGATGTTGTCAATCATGATCAATTTTGGCTCCTCTTGTTTTTGCATTGGCTCGCTGTTGCCTTCGATTGTGCTGGCGGAAGTTGCTGATGGCTGCGGCGGTATTGTTGCAACCAAGGCAGGTGTAGATTTCTGTTGGTACACCGGCGGCAAAGCACTGGACTCCACATTGGAAGTCGCCTCGGCGGCAGGAGCTGCGTTCCTGTGAGTGATGACTTCAACAGGCCACGTTCGGTGACTAAGTAAACGCTGAGCCTCCTCTTCAGTCATCATCTCAACAGAGTTCAGGCACTCGTCGAGGTTGACATTGTCAGGAATGCCGGATGTATCACAGAAA